TACTCCGGCCTGTCAGCAGCTCGGTGAGCGGCGTCGGGCGCCCTCGGTCACATCGCCATGGCGACGGCTCGCTGTGTTTACGGAATCTTCCCTCGATAAACAGGCCGACATATTGTCCAACCCACTTGTTTCCAAATCCGGAGGATTATGTCAACACGGCTGACTTGGAAAACACAACGGGACACAATAATGAACCGATAAGTTATAAAAAAAATAAAAACAATGGATGGAAATAGAACGCAGACATGAGGCAAACAAAGTGGCGCGGCGCAGTCTGCCGCCATCCGCCCAACTCGGGGCATCTTTTCCACTCTGTGTGGTTTTATCATTTTTTTTTATAAGGAAAAAAAATCTATTACTAAACTTTTTATTACATTAAATTCCAAGTAGATGTACATATAAATATATATACTGTACATTATATCTAAGCAGTGCTGCTCAACCTTTTTTTCAGTCAGGGCACCCTTTAAAAGTATGCAACATCTTAAGACACCCTAGTCTAGCATGTAAAAAAATATAAATGTAAAAATAAAATATATTAAATATATACACTATATTGCCAAACGTATTGGGAGTGACGCCTAACAATGAACTTCTCAGCATCACATGTAAATGTCATTAGCATGTTGAGGGGGGGGGGAGATTTAGAGAAGGCAAAATACACTATGTTACCAAAATAATGGGACGCCGGCCTTTACACGCACATGAACTTTAATGGCATCCCAGTCTTAGTCCGTAGGGTTCAATATTGAGTTGGCTCCGCCCTTTGCCGCTATAACAGCTTCAACTCTTCTGGGAAATACTTTTATAGCTACAAAGGATAAAAATCCACTTTGTGTGCACCAAATGCTTTCGTTAATCCAGATATTAACATAAAAAAGTAGCAGTGATGTCATCACTGTATTGTACATAGCCTGTGCAGAGAGCAGAGGAAGGGGCGGAGACAAGACCAGTCACCCTGCACAAGGAGAGAGCAGCAGTGAGCGGTCTTTATTACAGCAGGGGGGCAGAGACAAGACTAGTCACCCTGTACAAGGAGAGAGAGCAGCAGTGAGTGGCCTTTATTACAAGAGGGGCGGAGACAAGACCAGTCACCCTGTACAAAGAGAGAGAGCAGCAGTGACCGGTCTTTATTACAGCAGGGGGGCGGAGACAAGACTAGTCACCCTGCGCAAAGCAAGAGAGCAGCAGTGACCGGTCTTTATTACAGCAGGAGGGGGCGGAGACAAGACCAGTCACCCTGCACAAGGAGAGAGAGCAGCAGTGACCGGTCTTTATAACAAGAGGGGGAGGAGACAAGAGCAGTCACCCTGCACAAGCAGTGAGCAGTCTTTATTACAGGACGTCTCACACTGGATTACTGCACAGATCTGGAAGAAATACACAAAGCTCACCAAGACTCAAGGATGAGTACACATGACTGAGGCCTCTGTGTCAGGCCTATAGCTGTGCAATCAGTAGACCTCCAACTCCCTGCTAATTGGATCACTGCTTCCCCACAGATAGCAAGGGTCCTTCTTTGCAGCATGCTGGCAGGGGACAGTCTTTTCTACTCAGACCACGGCTGAAAAAAACCTGGTCCATGTGAATGTGGTGGGGGGCTAGGGTTGCCACCTGTCCAGGATTCACCCGGACAGTCCGGGTTTTGAATGCGGTGTCCGGGTTTCATGGCAGGACACAAGATGTCAGGCAGACGGGGGCTAACAAAATTAAGACAGGGGCTACTGGCCCCGCACTGAAAATAGTCTCAACTGTGATATTTACATACGAATGGGCGGCACTATCTACAAATGAATAAGCTACGACTTATTTTCCCCCAAAAATGTAAGCGCGGTCGCAAGAGTGTTCGGGTTTCGCTTCAAGAAAAGGTGGCAAGCGTATGGGGGGCTTTTCACCAGAAGCTCCTGAGAAGGGGAAGGGGAGGTGACTGTGAACACGTTGGCACCGTATGACTATGGCACATAATAGCTGCACACACGAATCCCTCTACACGACACGTGTTTTGGGAACAAAAAGGATTTTCAGCAAATCAAACGCTGTTTTGAATGACAAGTCAGATCAGTTTGTGTCAATGAATGACAAGCACAGCCTAGATTTAGCATTTTATTTTACTATGCCACAATAACATGTTGCAGGGTTTTTTTTCCTTCGAGGGGACGTGTTGACACAATGTATCCATCCAGTAAGCGGTGCCAGCCTGTGGCCCCCCTCCCCCGGCTCTCGTCTCCATCCTATAGAGGATGATGTCGCTGGGTGCCAGGATGGGCACAGATTGCACACCCACCTCCACACCTACACAGAGGCAGTACGCTGAGTAACATGCTATGTGCCATCTTCATGCAGCTGGTTCCTCACCAGCTCCAGGCAGGCAGCTCAGCTCGGCGCACTCACTCAGGAATTTCTGTGTGGGTTCCACTCTCCATGAAAATGTAAAAAAGAAGGGGAAAAAAAAAAGTGCATTTTTAAAACTCCTACTGCTAAAAAACCCCCAAACCTGGTATTCTTCTTCTTCTGGAGACGGCGAGGCTGGCGTAGAAGTCGTTCCTGCGGAGGGCACCGAGTTATGGAGCTTCGGATTTAAAAAGTCAATCGTTCCCGGTGAAAAAATAAAATCAATTTTTTTTTATTTTTTAGGGGGTTAGTTTACCTAAAAATGACATTTAATTTTTTCTTGGTAGACGCTGAATATATAACCCCCACCCCCCCCCGGGGTTTTTATGAGGAGGAAATCATGAGGTGGGAACACTGAAAATGCCAAAGTGGGCGAGAACAGAAGCAGGACCTATGGCATGGAGATCGCGCTGCTGGAATCCTCAACGGATATAGGAAGCCAGGGGTTGACTCAGGCTACTAGACTCCTCCCATATCGAAAATGTAATCTATGATGTCATCATTGACTGGTTACTTAATAGATACAGAATAAAGGATGAAGCCCCGCTGTGCGTATAAAATATATATATTTTTTTTAGCTCACCAAGGAAAAGCCGACTCATTTCAGGAGTTGCAAAGTTCCTCCTTCGTCAAAGCCGTGCACATATACAAGCATACGTATGGTCGTTGTCTTTTCTAAAATGATCTTGTGTACACGTATGAGATGACATTGGTTTTATATGTTCAGAGCCCTGAAGAAGGAGGGTCATTACAACCCCTGGAACGCGTTGGCTTTTCCTTGGTGATCTCAAACATAAATACAATTCTGGACTTTCAATACAAGGAGTGTTTCTTCTATCACTTATTCTATATTCATGTCTTCCTATGGACCATCTACATACGTTCTGGGACAAACAGAGCTGCCAATGGGCTCCAATATAGACATTCATAGTCTTCTGAGCGCTCTAGCCAAAGCTTCCCTGGGTGGTAGAAGGGCTTGCATTTTACAGGGGGTGGGGCTTGCTTTTGACTTGGAGAGAGGTCAATGCTCCATTTACAACAGGGGTGAGCAACTCCTGCCCTCAGTGAGCGGTAGAAGGGCTGGTATTTGACAGGGGGTGGGGCTTGCTTTCGACTTGGAGAGAAGTCAATGCTCCATCTACAACTGGTGTGGTCAACTCCGGCCCTCAGTGGGCGGTAGAAGGGCTGGCATTTGACAGGGGGTGGGGCTTGCTTTCGACTTGGAGAGAAGTCAATGCTCCATCTACAACTGGTGTGGTCAACTCCGGCCCTCAGTAGGCGGTAGAAGGGCTGGCATTTGACAGGGGGTGGGACTGGTCTTCGACTTGGAGAAAAGTCAATGCTCCATCTACAAAAGGGGTGGGGGCGACTCCGGCCCTCAGTAGGCAGTAAAAGGGCTGGCATTTGACAGGGGGCGGGGCTTCTTTTCGACTTGGAGAGAAGTCAATGCTCCATCTGCAACCGGGATGGGCAAATTCAGCCCTCAGTGAGTGGTAGAAGGGCTTGCATTTGACGGGGGGCGGGGCTTTTCCTCGACTTGGAGAGAAGTCAATGCTCCATTTACAACAGGGGTGGGCAATTCGGGCCCTCAGTGGGTGGTAGGAGGGCTGGCATTTGACAGGGGGTGGGGCTTGCTTTCTGCTTGAAGAGAAGTCAGTGCTCCATCTACAACAGGGGTGGGCAAATCTGGACCTCCAGCTGTTTTGGAACTACAACACTCATGAGGCACTGCAAGACTCTATCAGGCACAGGCATGAATCTCAGAGGCATGTTGGGATTTGTAGGTAAAGCACAGCTGGAGGGCCAGAGTTGCCCACCCCTAATCTACAACCTGGGCCTGGTGGGCTACACAGGGGCACAGAAATTGAGTTGAAGACACATGAACTTAGTCACTATGTAAAGGAGCGGATCAAGTAATAAGAACTTTTTCCTGGGACTCTGAACAATCTCACTCAGGAAATCTAAAACATGACAAAAGTTTATCCATAATCTACATAAAACATTATTAGATATTTATCTAAAATAGAATAAAATCCAATATTGGATACATAATGTATACTGTATATAAATAAGTGAGCACCCAACAACATCAGCTTAGACATTCTACCATTTTCATGAACTCACCGACGCGTTTCACAGACTAAGTCCCGCCTCTTCAGGTCTCAGTTGAAATGTATGTGTTAGAAAAGGAACTTGTTGAAGCCACAAAGTTCTTCCGTGTCACCTTAGTTCAAAGAACAGGTTCACTTTAAAGCAGGGGCGTAACTACAGATCATGGGGCCCCATAGCAAAATTTGAATAGGGCCCCATGGCAAACCCTTTAAAATCGAAATCAAGGACAGGTAGCAGGAGGGCTGTCTGCATAGTCTCTTCCTGTAGATCGGATATCAACTCTTGATTGGAAATGCCATAAGGGGTACGGGGTCAACAGCAACTTCAGCAATCCTTCATTGGCCCCCTTCCACCCCCAGGCCCCATAGCAGCTGCATGGGCTGCTATGGCTATTGTTACGCCCCTGGTTTAAAGGGATCTCGTAGTCGCTAGAAGTAAAAATGACACCAGTCCCCCCGAAATGATTAATCTGATGATTTGATTTTTTGTTGTCCCAGATCACCCCCGATCGATATTTTATGACTGGATTTCTGAGGCTGCACATAGTTTGGGTAAGTTTAAAGGACTTTCCTTTTAAAACAATGTTTCCCTTTCTAATGTTCGAGAGCTGATATGATCCTAAAATAAAACCTGTTATCAAATGTATTTATAAATGGGGAAGCTGCTTGTATATTGGGTCTCCCCCCCTGGTACCTTTATAAATATAACTGATATACAAACCAGGCTTTTATAATAATGATAGGCTTTTTAAAACCCAACAACCCACCACCCCAAAGCACCCCCATTCATGTCTGGTGGGAGGGGCCGGCAGGGTGCTGTACATAGCTTCCTGATACCATCACAGCGCCCTGCCTCAGTACTATTCTGAAGAGCCCTCAGCCCTGATGCAAGCCATGGTGGAGTGCTTGGGAGGAGTTATGCAAATATTAAAATGCTTTGATGGACGGGTGTCAGTCTGGAGGAGTGGGGGTTCCTAAGCAGGATGCATTTGCATGCAGACCACCCTAAGTACCGCCCACTTGTGATGCTGAGGCCCTATGATTGAAATAACTCAAATCCAATGCGGCAGTATGCCTGGTGCAAGCAGTGGGCAGACTCTTGGGAGGAGTTATGCAAATGTTAAAATGCCTTGCTGGATGGGTGTCAGTCTGGAGGAGTGGGGGCTCCTGAGCACGATGCATTGCATGCAGACCACCCTAAGTACCGCCCACATGTGATGCTGAGGCTCCACGATTGAAAGAACTGAAATATGCCTCAGTACTCCTCTCAAGAGCCCTCAGCCCTGATGCAAGCTGTGGGCCGCCTCTTGGGAGAAGTTATGCAAATATGAAAGTAACACCTACATGTGATGCTGAGGCTCAATGATTGAAAGAACTGAAATCCGATGTGGCAGTACCCCTGGTGCACGCAGTGGGCGGGCTCTTGGGAGGAGTTATGCAAATGTTAAAAATGCCTTGATGGGCGGGTGCCAGTCTGGAGGAGTGGGGGCTCCTAAGCAGGATGCAGTTGCATGCAAACCGCACTAAGTGCCACCCACATGTGATGCTGAGCGTCCATGATTGAAAGAAATGAAATAAGCCTCAGTATTCCTCTCAAGAGCCCTCGGCCCTGATGCCAGCAGTGGGCGGGCTCTTGGGAGAAGTTATGCAAATATCAAAATGCCATGATGGGTGTGTGTCATTCTGGAGGAGTGGCCGTTCCTAAGCAGGCTGTATTTGCACTTAGACCACCCACATGTGATGCTGAGGCCCCATGATTGAAATAACTGAAATGCCTCAGCATGCCTGATGTAAGCAGTGGGCGGGCTCTTGGGAGGAGTTATGCAAATGTTTAAATGCCTTAATGTCTGGAGGAGATGAGCGGTCTGCGGGGGAATCTGTACATTATTGTTACATATACTTTGTTACATCTCATACATTTTTTTTTCCGGGACTGTAACTTTTCTGCGTCTATAATGGCCTATAATTGCCTTCCCGTAATCACAGGAGAAAGCAGCGCACCGCCCACCCGCCGTTCGCAGCCCCAAATATACCCGTTTATCTCTGCACAGTAGCTATTACTTCCAGAAATAAAATATTAGCAGAGGATGAGACAGCTCGGGGTAATCGACTCTAATAATTACTATCTATTGTTAGAAGAGCTGGCGGGTTCCTGCTGAGCTTTTGTTGTCGGCAGTGTTCAGAGACAACGTGACGGCTGCGAGTGCGCTACAGAAGCCCCGGTCTGTCCACTGGGTTGGGTTAAAGGGGAGCTCCAGGCAAAAAAAAAAAAAGAATGTGGAAAGGTGAACGTGCACAGTGAAGTGACTGATAAACGATTGGTAGTTGTGCTCAGCTAGTCATGTGATCCATACCTCCCTGCCAGACAGCATAGCCAGGTCTGTGAGCGGCGCTGCAGTGAAGGTGGACCTATGCCCAAATAAAGCCTTGATGGGGTGAGTGAAGACTGAAACATAAGCTTGTGGCAGCTTTTTGATATCTTGTTTTAGAGACATCACCTTGGCAAAGCAGTACATAGGTGACGTCCCCGCAGTGAAGTGGGCGTGGCTTAACCTGAATCGATGCACTTAAATAGGTGTGGCTTCATTAGAATGGTAGGCAGATTTTTCCTGTTATGATGTTTCTTTTTTACCATTTGCTCAATGCAAGAGCCTGCACACGTGACAAGAGACTGTTGGGGCCCTTTCGCAGTGATGCGCCGCATTAACGTGCGCATGTTCACGCATATCATGCCGCACATTTATATGTGTCTTGTTAAACAGCCCACTCAATTGAATGCGTTGCCCATTGCACCTAAACAGAAGCATTTTCGGCAGTGCTGCACTGCAACTGTGCATTAGGGGTGCCATTCGGAATGCATGGCGCTGCATCGCTCCGACGCAGTGCAGCTTGTTCTGGCCACCTCTGGACATCTAAATCCAGCAAGAACACTGCAGAGGAAAAAGGGCTGCAGGGGATACCAAGAGGAGTCAGAAGAAGCTTTGCAGTTCTGGCAGCCAGATTAGATATGGCGCCAAGGGGTGGAGCTTCTACACAAGGACGTCATAAGTCACATGTGCCTGGGGCAGAGGCGTTACTAGAAAGTTCAGCGCTACAAAGCGTCCCCCCCAGGAGGGAGCTGCATGCTGGGAGCTGTAGTCCCAGGAGGCAATGTGGGTGACTTGGCAGCTACCGGCAACCACGGTAGTTCCGCCAGTGGTCTGGGGTCACATGATCTCTAACTATGCTCCTGTTCTCAGTCTGCAAACTAGTCCCAGGGAAGGGAAGCTGAGCCTTTTAAGCAGGGGCATCTCGAGGCCGGTCGCCAGACTCGGTGACAGTCCACCGTGTCGTCATCGCGGAGGCGCGATGACATCATCGCGCATGCGCTGCCATCTGCTTGACGCCTGTCGGCGGCCATCTTGGTGATGGACGCCAGCAGAGAGAGGAGGGTCGTTTAATATGACCTGTTATAAAACATTGATTGGTGCAGTCTGGTTACCATGGACAACAAAATTCCGGCGCCTAAAGCAGAACTCAAGCCAAAAATAACAAGATAAAAAAGAATAGCCCATTAAATGATAAAAAAAAGCAGCCATTGCGCAATATTCAGTGTAAAGCTTTCAACCCCCTCCGCAGTACTTCTTTTTCGCCACTAAATGTCCTCAAGTCAGATGGCCGGCATCATTCAACCCACTTCCTCTGAGGTCAAGGTCGTACTGAACCTGCCCCCAAGCCTGTGAAAGGAGAGGCAGCACGGTGATGCGCTGATCTCTCCGTCACACTGCTTCCTCCTCCTATCAGCATGCTCCTTGTAATCACATGAACTAATTGGATTTCTGTGCTGCTTTTTCCATTTACGGTCTGAGCTCTGCTATACAAGGGCTTTAAAAGGCTGGTACCAACTCAAATTCTGGCGCTTACATTACTTAAAATACAGTTAATGATGTATTAATGACTCCATAGCTGGGCAAAGTTATCTGCAGAAGCACTTTCATCTGCATTTGTTCACATATGACATTTAAGCAGATGAGTTGCCCAGAACAGCTTTATATAAAAGGTAAAACCATCGGAAAGAACTCCAATGAAAGGCAAAATGTCAATAAATCGCCCCATAAACTTTCCATAGTATCTACAAAGCCAGCACAGAAGATACAGCCCTGGAAACAAAGCCCGGAGCAGATACAGCGAGCGCGGATGAATGTGATTCCACAATGGAAGGCCTATGCAGGGCGTAGTCACACACACACAGCGCCATTGTTCGGGGACATGTTTGGTCTTCTTGTCCCGCTCGGAAAGACAAGTATATTTTATATTTCAACATAAAGAACATTGTTTCTTTGTCAATGAAAACGGGGCCTGCTTGTGGTCACTGTGTTAGCGTTGTGGGATGTGCTGATGAAAGAAAGTAGTTTTATCATTGATGGCTCTGCGGAGAGTCCCGGGAGGGGGGGAGGAGGGGGCCTTGGGGGCAATATTCAAAGTCAAGTATTTCTCTATCTATATTGTTTCCATTGTTGCTGCTTGAAACAGGAACGAGTCATCCCTCAACCACTGTGTACTGAGGAACTGAAACAGCAACTTTTGTTGGGTTCTGTGGCTCCTTTTCATGTCTATCCCCGTGTCTTTATTTCCTCCGCTTCTTTCCCCAAAAATATTGCAACTGTGAGCACCGAGCCGTGTTTTCCCCTCTTCTCCTTTTGTTACGTTTTCCCTCTGCCCAGCCACACACATCTCCATGCTCTCCTCCTCTCCTGTCCTCTGTCCCTCTACCCATCCTCTCCCCTCTCCTGTCCTCTGTCCCTCTACCCTTCCTCTCCTCCTCTCCTCTCCTGTCCTCTGTCCCTCTCTCCTCTCCTTTGTCTCTCTCTCTCCGTCCTCTCCTGTCCTCTGTCCCTCTCTCCTTTCTCTCCTCCTCTCCTGTCCTCTGTCCCTCTACCCTTCCTCTCCTCCTCTTCTGTCCTCTGTCCCTCTCTCCTCTCCTTTGTCTCTCTCTCTCCTCCTCTCCTGTCCTCTGTCCCTCTCGCCTTCCTCTCCTGTCCTCTGTCCCTCTCTCCTCTCCTTTGTCTCTCTCTCTCCGTCCTCTCCTGTCCTCTGTCCCTCTCTCCTGTCCTCTTTCCCTCTCTCCTTTCTCTCCTCCTCTCCTGTCCTCTGTCCCTCTCTCCTTTCTCTCCTCCTCTCCTGTCCTCTTTCCCTCTCGCCTTCCTCTCCTCCTGTCCTCTGTCCCTCTCTTCTCTCCTCTGTCTCTCTATCTCTCCTTCCTCTCCTGTCCTCTGTCTCTCTCGCTTTCCTCTCCTCCTCTCCGGTCCTCTGTCCTCCTCACAACCCCTCTTTTTCTGCCGGTCTTTATCCTTGTATCTCTTATCAGTGCATGTTAGCTTACTACAATCCCCCGTGTCCCAAGGTCACCAGTCACCTCCAATATAAGATGACAATTGCAGAACAAAAGCTTAAATCTAATTTGTAGCTCATTGGCAACAAAGTCTTTGTTTTTGTTTTTAATTAACCACATTTACTGGTAAGTAGGATAATTTTTTCTTGTTTTCAGTCTCTCTCAACTATTGTTTCTTTCTTTCTT